AGAATTATTTAGTGGTGGTTTAGTCGTTAAGTCATGTCCAACTCTTGCGACCCCATGGACTGTAGCCTGCCAGCCTCCTCTGTCCATGGGGATTCTCTAGGCAAGAATACTAGAGTGGGCTGCCAGTTCCTTCTCCAGGGGATCTTTCCAACCCAGGAATCAAACCTGGGCCTCATGCATTGCAGGCAGATTCTTTACCAACTGAGCTATGAGGGAAGCCAAAAGAATTATTTAGAGCAACACAAACACATGATGGTCAGAAATATACAACTAAAAGCTTGGGAAAAAGAAACCATGCTTTTTTTTTTTAACCTTTCTACTTGTAGCCTTCTTTCCTTCTCATGTTCTGACATATTTCAATATGTTCCAACATATTCCAACCAATAGTTCTAATTTTCCAACAAATAGCTATAGGCCTGATTACAATGACTAATGGGCTATTTGCCACAGAGAGTAACAAAATACTCTCATATCATATGATTGTTCAGATTTATATATACATACAAATTTATATATACATATTTATATATTTTATAATACATATACATTTATAAATACATGCCACACAATGACATATTTATATCACACAATGCACCCTAGATACAGCCACAGGTAGACTATGGCTTTGTTATCAAGGACATGGATATTAATACCACAATGAGCTGTGACTACTCTGTCATAAGAATGACTGAAATGAAAAATCATTGACAATAACAAGTGTGGGTGAAACTATGAAACAACAAATATTGTTCTCCACTGCTTGAGGGATTACAAATTGGTTCATTCCTTTGGGTAAATGTTCTGTGGTATTTACTCGAGTTGCACATATAATCCAGCAGTCTACTGTATTCAATGAAAAACAATGTATTCACATGTAAGATCACAGGAAGATACAGGAACGCATGTCACAGCAGGGCTCTCAATAACCCCAACTGGAAATGACTCAAAGTCCAGCCACAGAGGGGGGTGAACCAGTTGTGGCATGCTCACCCAACGAAATACTGCACAGCAAGGAAAATGAGCCAGTTATTGAAACATACAACATTGATGAATATAACAATGGTAAGGTCGAATGAAAGAATTTACTCAGAAAATAACTCCATTTACACAAATCCACGAGAGGCCAAGTGAATTATGGTCTCACAAGGAGGGGCAGTGTTTGGTTACCTTTAGCATGAAGGAAGAATTACTGATAGAGGTCAAAGGGGGCAACTTGGGTGCTAGTAATACTGATACCTATTTCTTGACCTGGCAGTTGGTTCACTTTGTGAGATCTCAGAATGAACACTTACAATTTGTGTATTTTTCAGTATATATGTTACATATCAATATTATTATTTTTTAATTAAAATTTTTGTTTTGGCTGCACCATGCAGCTTGTGGGATCTTTGTTCTGGAACCAAGGATTGAACCTGGTTCCTCAGCAATGAAAATGCTGAGTCCTAATCATGGACTGCCAGGGAATTCCCAAGAATGTTTAAACATAAAAATTTTAAAAGTTAAAAGTTAAAAATAGGCCTTTTACAGTTATTTTTAAAAAACCTTTTAAAATTATATTAAAATTAAAAATAATATTTTTTAAAGAAAAAAATAGATCTACTTTCAAGCCCAATTGTCTACATATGTATATATCTGTATTAGTTTACTAGAGCTGCCTTGACAGAACAACAGAAATGTATTTCCTTATGGTCTGGAGGCTGGAAGTTCAAGGCCATGGTGCTGGCAGGGTTGTTTCCTGCTGAGATCTCTCTCCTTGGCTCAGGGACACCTACCTTCTCCCCACTGTCCTCTCAATGGCCTGTTTCTTGTGCATGCACATTCTTGGGGCATCTTCTTTATGGGGCATCAGATTAGGTCCCCACTCTTATGACCTCATTTAACCTTAATTACCTTACTGCCAAGTACAGTCACATCAGCAATTAGGGCTTCAACCTATGAACTCTGGGAGAGTTTCCAATTCAATCTATAATAAACTCATTGACACTCTCTTAATTAAAAAAAATCCTCTTTATGTAAAATGTTCACATTTTCAACCTCTAAAATATTTAAATCTCATTATCTTAAACACCACCTCAAAGTACCAGGTGTTTCCCAAGTACTTTAAAGTCTTCACCATATACAGTTTGTGAAAATGTTTAAATCTAAGGTTTTCAAAATTTCATGGAAATTATTTTTAATTCAAGGACAGGGAAAAAACCTAATTATATTTTTAAATAGAACCGGTTTTATTGACAAAACACCATTTCAATACCGATTATACACAAACTCTCGCCACAGACAAGTAATGAATACACATGCGGGGCACCTGTTTAACAAAACAACTACACATGATAAGAAAGAAACATTGAAAAGGAGTACTTTCAAATGATTTAATGTAACACATACTTATTGTTACCACCTACCCTGCATTTCTGCAAATCCTCCAGTGAAACTTTAATCTATTAAATATTTAGTAATGCCAGAGTGGCTTATGCTTATTTTCAAATGGTCGCAAAATATGAACGTGGTTGTAACAGAATAGAGAATAAATTATCCAAGGAAAATTATAGTGTCTGACTCAGCGTTCTTGCCAAAGATCCTGGTTATCCTTCTGTGACAGGATCAATGGGGCACTTTGGGGTTCATGATGCCTATATAATTATACCCCAAATCTAGGTCACAGCAAGCACCTCATTACACTGAGATTCAAAGAGCTAAACCTTTATTTCAAGGAGACAAACTTTTAGGATAGTCTTTTTTCCAATCTGCTTACATGCTCACACGTTTTGGCAATATATATTTAAATTAATACTAAGTCACTTGGTAGCTCTCTTTATCATTTATAACTGTTTCATGCACATAATGTTATATATCACCAAGAACATAATGTTAAAAGGAAGTTATCAGAAGGTAAAACAAAGTCCAGTTACTATATGCAGTGTAGCAATCCCTATGGATTAAGTTACCAAAACTTCATGAAAGGAGAATTCAAAGGGACAAATGGAAAATGGTGCCCAACAACTGTCTTAAAAAGATATTTTTAGAGTTCAATGAGTGCCAATTTATTTCTATCACAATATCTTTGCTCACTAGAAACACTGCAGTTTTTCTTTCCATGCAATTTTGACCAGCTACCTGTCATTCTACAGGGCTTTGTTACAGCCTCTATGTTTCCTAAGAAGCTTATTTCTTTCTGCTTCAGATCCTTCAGCCCTGAGATGGTTACTCAGAGTGTGAATTCTAGCCCTCCAGGGTCAATCTCCCAGTCCCAAAGGCAGAATAAATATGGAGGCTTGAAATGGGAAAGGCCTTGGGTGATTTTCCTTTAAGGGGCTCACCTAAGCCAAGTTTGAGGCTCTCCACTCAGACCCAGGACGCCTGAATTCTGCTCACGACAACCTCAGGCCAACACACACACCCTTAGTGCCCATCACACCCTGCCCAGCAACTCTGCCACCACCAGAACGTGGGCCCTCATGTAGCTTCATCTTCCTTTCTCTTTCTAAATGTCTCGGAGCCACAAAATTTCCTCTCCTTCTTAAACAGCTCTCTTTTTTTAAATTCCTGCAACCGAAACATATCCCAGGTTGCAGAGACCAGAACCAAAGTTTTTCCAGTTGCCTGGAAAGTTACTGAGGTTACTCAGACTTACCGTTGGTGCCTTTGATGCAGGGAGCAGATGGCTGAACTCAGGTCATCCTTTGTCTGTGTCGGAAAAGTGGAAGGAGGCAGCCACCAGCCAAAAACAAAGTCCCCGTGAATGTAACAGGTCAACATGTTTGGGCTGAACAGCTGCTAACTAACTTGGGGGAAAGACAAGGGGAAAGGACCCCAAAAGTGGTGAGGAAATGGTTTCCTTCCCAACAGAGGTGGAGCAGATCTCATGGCGGCCAATCATCATCTCCAGGAGTGAGATCTCACCGACAAGAGATTGATTTATGAGCCTGCTGACTAGAAAGGTGGTCCTTGCACCAGGAAAGCAGAGTCACCCTAGCAAGCTTCTCCCACATTTCCCCTGCCACTGACAAGCATCAGCTTAAGATGCTCGTGTACCTATACCTGATGAGACTTTAGCCTCACCTGTAACCTACTGTCTTCAGAGATCTGGTTGCCTCTGCTCTTTCTCTGGGAATGAAAGTTCTTTCTGTAACCAAGGATGAGAGTATTTTGCTGTTAGGGATCCTGACACTGCTTAGGGGGCAGTCCCAAACTCCTGAGCAAGAATCCACATGAACTGAGATAAAGGCTTTGTCTCTAAAGGCAGTTTCAATTATGTCTCCAAGATACCCTGTCCTCTATTTGACCTCAGTATCCTCGGCCTTTTCAAGAGCAGGGTTAATCTCTTTTCCAAGCCAAGCCCCAGGTGGGAAGAAGAAAACTCCAGCTGGAGGAACACCCATATCTCAACTCATAGCAGGTGGTATGGATGCCTACCGCCCTGCCCCACTCCACCACTTTCACTTCCCCAATGAACCCCCCAACCTGGAAGCATTTCTACAGGAGTTCACTCTGTTATGAAGAAATCCTTTGTAATGAAGCTTGCATTTCTTTCCCCAACGTGCTGGGAAAGAATGTAATTACAACATACAGTCTCACTTAAAATAAATATATTAATTAAGAAGCTCCAATACTTTGGCCACTGAATGTGAAGCACTGACTCATTGGAAAAGACCCTGATGCTGGGAAAGACTGAAGGCAAGAGGAGATGGGTGCGACAGGATGAGATGGTTAGATAGCATCACAGACTCAATGGATATGAGTTTGAGCCAACTCTAAGAGATAATGAAGGACAAGGAAGCCTGGTGTGGTGCAGTTCATGGGGTCACAAAGAATCAGACATGACTTAGTGACTGAACAACGAATGATTGTGACATTCAATGGAACAATTTTCACTTCAATTAAAAGTACAATAAGACTATATAAATCATAGGGATGACATTGTTAAAACTACCTCTTAAAAAACCAAAACTGAATTCATTTTCATAGACTTCTTCAAACTGTGAATTAAAAAGCTCCTTTACCTGACGAACGAAGCTATTTGAGGTAGTGTCAGAAGAAGTGCTCCCATCGGATCCTTTAAATCTGTTTTTCCTTCTGGCTCCTTTTCCATAAGACTACAAAAAAGAAAACCAAAATACAAATAAGATTATGATTAGATCCTTACACAGGAATCTAGACCTAGTTCCAAAAAATGTTCTAGATCAAGACAAAGAATAAATTACCATCACACGAGCATGATTAAAAAGTTACTGGAGACCAAATATATTCCACTTATATGTGGAATCTAAAATATGACACAAATGAACATATCTATGAAACAGACTCACAGACATAGAGAACAGACTTGTGTTTGCCAAGGGAGGTAGGTTGGGGAGAGAATGGAGTGAGAGTTTGGGGTGAGCAGGTGCAAACTCATATATAAGATGGATAAACAACAAGGTCCTACTGCACAGCACCGGGAACTATATTCAACATCCTCTATTCAATATAATAGAAAAGAAGATTAGAAAGAATGTATATATGTATATAACTAAATCACTTTGCTGTATAACAGAAATTAACACAACACTGTAAGTCAACTATACGTCAATAAAATAACATTTTTTAAAAAGTGATTGGTGGAATCACAAATATTTATTTCAAATCAGTGACTTTATAGGGAGGAGAGGGTTCTGGAAAAAGCATTTCACAGTTGGTGAATTGGGCTTCCCTGATGGCTCAGGGGTAAAGAATCTGCCTGCCAATGCAGGAGATGCAAGTTCAATACCTGGGTTGGCAAGATACTCTAGAGAAAGAAATGGCAACCCACTCCAGTATTCTTCCCTGAGAAAGCCCATGGACAGAGGAGCCTGGCCGGCTACAAGTCCATGGGGTCACAAAAGAGTTGGTCATGACTTGGTGACTAAACAACTACAACAACTCTTGAATTAAAATAATTTAAGCTCTGTTAGCATATCTCTGGTCAAGACGCAAAGGCCACTAAAGATAAGGCATTACAACACAAAAACAGATGTACAGAACAGACTTTTGGAATCTGTGGGAGAAGGCGAGGGTGGGATGTTTCAAGAGAACAGCATCGAAACATGTATATTATCTAGGGTGAAACAGATCACCAGCCCAGGTTGGATGCATGAGACAAGTGCTCGGGCCTGGTGCCTCTGGGAAGACCCAGAGGGATCGGGTAGAGAGGGAGGTGGGAGGTGGGATCGGGAGGGGAATACATGTAAATCCATGGCTAATTCATGTCAATGTATGAGAAAAACCACTACAATATTGTAAAGTAATTAGCCTCCAACTAATAAAAATAAATGAAAAAAAAAGAATAAAAAAAAGATAAGGCATTAAAAAAAATAAACATTTATGTGTAGGAGGGACTGGGGCAAAATTACTGTGAGAGGAAAGCAACTTGTCAAAACCCTTCAGAGAGATGAATGCAGTTGTTTCTGGTCACTCAGTTATGTCTGACTGTTTGTGACCCCATGGGCTGCAGCATGCCAGGCTCCTCTGTCCTCCACTATCTCCCAGAGTGTGCTCAAACTCATGTCCATAGAGTTGATGATGCCATCCAACCAACTCGTCCTTTGTCGCCCCCTTCTCCTATCCTCAGTCTTTCCCAGCATCAGGGTCTTTTCCGGTGAGTCAGCTCTTCACATCAGGTGGCCAAAGTATTGGAGCTTCAGCTTCGGGATCAGTCCCTCCAATGAATATTCAGGGCTGATTTCCACTAGGATTGACTGGTTTGATCTCCTTGCTGTCCAAGGGACTCTCAAGAGTCTTCTCCAGCACCATGGTTTGAAAACATAATGAAATACTGTTTCCCAGCGGTGCTGAACAGCCACTTTTTGGTTCATGTTTTAATTTGTAATTCCATAGGTATTCCTTGCACATGGTGGCTCAGGAACCGTTACAATATAAATTCTGACTACCTTTACATATAGATAGATTAGTATAGGTTGATCAATCTAGATGAAATATGAATGAGGCACAGTGTCAATTCTTCACATTCTATAGATTAAGAGATTGGTTTTGGGAGATGTCGAAAGAGCTATGGAAGTGGTAGTGAATTACACTAAATTAAAACATTTTGTACAATTTTTCTGGCCCATTGTTGTAATGTTTGAATATGATGTGAAAAGCTTGTTCTTTTGTTAGTAGATATAGAAAAGAGTTTTATTTGAGCCACTGAGAACTACAGCCTGAAAGAAAGCTTCTCAGATAGCTCTGAGGAAATGTTCTGGAAAAGCATGGTTTTCACCAGTTTATTTTTTTTTTAATTTTATTGAAATATAGTTGATTTACAATCCTGTGTTAGTTTCTGCTGTACATCAAAGTGACTCAGTTATATATATATTATTTATATTTATATATACACACATATGTTATTTTTCATATTCTTTTCTATGATGGTTTATCACAGTATATTGAAGACAGTTCCCTGTGTTATATAGTAGGACCTTGCTGTTCATCTCAAAAGCCTGCTTTTTAATCACTCAATTATTCTGCTGAGAGGGCAAGAAAAATAAATTTTATGGAATTGTAATAATAAGCAGTAGTAGTAAGCATTTAAGAACAGGATGTAAAAGGTAAGAGTTTGTCTCAGTAGTAGGATAAGGCCAAGCACAAACACCTACAAATGAACTTACTTCTTTTTTAAACTATACCTACAGCTTACTTTCAGAGCACTAAAAATAAACTATACATTCATCTATGGCTAATTCTAGACAGGAATAAAATTACTGAGAAAATCACACATTGAAATATAAGTAAAAAATAGCTCAACACTGAGCTTTACAGGTACATACACACAGGCAGGGATCCTGGTATAGCAGACCTTGAGCAAGTTTCTCAATCTCTCTAAACCTCAGTCTTCTCATCCTTAAGATAGTAAGACTTACCTCCCAGGTGGTTTTAGGTACTAAATGAAGGAATGTATTTATCATTTACTGTAAGACCTAGCACATGATAAGGGCTCAAAATAATATTATAAAATGTGATACCCATAGTAGGGTGTCAAGGGTAGAGAAAAACTGGGCTAAAATGTATTATGTGTTTAGAAGGCCCACAGAGACTTCACTGGATGATCAGAATTAACAAAATTTGCTTTTTTGAAAATGACCATGTTCGGGTTTTGAAAATGCTACTTTTGTTATATTTTACACATTCATATGGTTTTCATTAAAATGGAAATATAAACCATAATATACATAGCACTTAGGCAAGCTGAAATTTCTTACAAACATTTGTGTTATGAGTAATTTAGATGAATTTGCAATCAGTGAGAGGGGTGGTATAATTTTAAAGCAAAAATTTGCCTTAAATATGTTTGTTCTCTTCCAAGTACTGAAGGGATTTATATAATACAAATGTGTTTCCATGGCATTTAATTAACTCTCGACTTCATAAAAGGAAAGACAATCTAAGCTGGGCTTTCATAATACAAGGTTCTCTTCACGTAACAGCATATTCTTCTTACTTTTGTAAACATTATGCCGTAAACTGTTGAAAAATAACATTCTTTCAACAATGTTCTTCCTTTTCCAACTATTATGGAAAGGTTCGCACAGAAGTGTCTTCCAAGGCCTAGAAATGTTAAAGTTTGAAAGTCTCCTTAAAATTAAAAAAATAAATTTTTTATATTATTCCATGTGGAAAAATACTTATTACCTTGAAAGCAGTTTTAAAGCCTAACATATTTCCTTGAGGGAAGGTGAGGGCAAATCTATGTTCAATTTACTATGTACCTTCATTTGGAGTATAAATTATCTTTGAGAATAAAAACAAAATATTCTATCATCCCATAATCCTGTGTCCAAACAGCATTGTTTGGACATGGGTGGGAAAAGCTTCTTTGAAGTCATACCATTATCATTTATTTTGGATTTTTAATGATAAATGTGTTTTTACTATTCAGCTGCTTTGGAGTATAAGCTTTTTCATGGCTGCTGACACTGGCCAGCAGACACTGTGAGAACCACACAATATTGAAGACAGCCAGTCCCAGGGGAGGCTGCTGTTCCCTGCAAAAAAATGAAACACATTTAAAAAGTCATTTTAAATTTTCCTGGCCCCTGGGGACACTGTTCATAAACATTATTTCAGGTGTACTTAGCTATAAATGCCATGTGTCTAAATTGGATTATTACAGGTTTCAACTGTACTAAGACACAGCTGATACACTTAAAGATGGCATACTGAATTGCACACGAACTGGTGATTTTTATTTTTATTTTTTTGGCCACACCACATGACATGTGAGACCTTAGTTCCCTGGCTAGGAATCTAACCCATGTCCTCTGCATTAGAAGTGTGGAGTCTTAACCACTGGACCACCAGGGAAGTCCCCTGGTGATAGTATTGAGAAAAAATATCTTTTCCTTCAATCACTTAAATGTATGAGGGATGATTTATTCAAAGTGTTTCTGCTTAACAGTGTTAAAGCAGTTCTTATTCATTATATATGTTTACTAAAAGTCAAAATAGATATGATTAATTACACTTCTGTTTACTAATTTCAGCAGTACTTTCTCTCTTATAATCTCCTTTAAAAAAAAAAAAAAACTATTGAGTGATGCTTCAATAACAAGTTATTTCTTACAACAATATCCAGGATCAAGAAGAAAATAATTTAAGCAACTTTTGCAAAGCTAATAGTCCATCTTTACATACTTGAAAACAGGTTAGTGAAAATTTATACTACCATTCCCAAATGAAGCTACATTAAGTTCCATGCATATTTAAAATTGGGTCTAACTTACTATGGCATCTGTATAAGTTATTCAAAATTCTAGAAAATGAGGACCAGAGTGTTTCAGGTGAAGGAATTAAAAAAAAAAAAAAATGAAGGCCAACCCTTACCCAAATGGTAAAAGACAGGAAAGAATAAGTATTCAAATATGTAGCTGCCTAAACTTGGAAAAGGAGTATAGTTTTCTTAACTGGCTACTTCAAATGCAGCTACTTTTATGAGCAATGGGGTTTCTACATTTTTTTTAGCAACACTAAGTATCTAAACATCTGCTATTAAATATATGAGATGATTAATAGAGTTTCAGGATGTAAAGGAAGAGAACACGGCCAGGCTGTCAAGAGTGCCAAGTGTAACCCATAACACTCT